ACCCTCTCATCCCACAGTCTTCTTGCTTCCCTAAAAGCAGCTCCCAGGAAAACCCCCTGAGGTCATCCTTGACCTCATTCTTTTCTCACACCACTCATCCTGTAAGTTAGCAGTTCTTGTCGACTCATTCCAACCTGGTTTGGGCTCCTGCTTGCCCTGTATACTGAGTGACTGTATTAGTTTTCTGTGGCTGCTGTAACAAGTTACTGCAAACTCAGCAGCCCACATAACAAATTCATTATCTTACAGTTCTGTAAGTCAGAATCTGACAAATCTCTTTGGCCTAAAATCAAGGTGTTGATAGGACTGCATTCCTTTCTGTCAGCTCTGTACGGGATCTATTTCCTTGAATTTTCCAGCTTTTAGAGGTCACCCACATCCCTTGCTTTGTGGTCCTTTTCTCTTCAAAGCCAGCAAAAGGAAGTTGAGTTCTTCTCACATTGCATTACTCTGAGCTTCTGTTTGCCTATTCCATTTTCTCTTGTGTGGGACTGTTAGTTTTTATTTTATGTTTATATTATATCATTTGAATTAAAATTTTAAAAATTTATTGAGGTAACATTGACTTAGAACAAGATATTAGTTTTATATGTACAACATTATATTTCAGCTTCTATATACACAACAGTGTGTTCACCACCAAAGTTTAGTTTCCATCTATCACCACCCTGTTGATCCTCATTACCCATTTCACCCTCTCTACCATTTCCCCTTGCTCCTGCTGCTGCTGCTGCTGCTAAGTCGCTTCAGTCATGTCTGACTCTATGCAACCCCATAGATGGTAGCCCACCAGGCTCCCCTGTCCCTGGGATTCTCCAGGCAAGAACACTGGAGTGGGTTGCCATGTCCTTCTCCAATGCAGCAAACTGAAAAGTGAAAGTGAAGTTGCTCAGTCGTGTCCGACTCTTAGCGACCCCATGGACTGCAGCCCACCAGGCTCCTCTGTCCGTGGGATTTTTCCAGGCAAGAGTACTGGAGTGGGGTGCCATTGCCTTCTCCCACCATTTACCCTTAGGTAACCACTACTCTATTCTCTATATCTCTGTGTTTGTTTATGTATGGTTTGATTCATTAACTTATTTAACTTTTTGTTGTTGTTGTTGTTTGTTTTTTATTAATATATTCTACATATGAGTGAATTCATACAATCTTTGATTTCTCCATCTGACTTATTTCATTTGGCGTAATAGCCTCAAGGTCTGTTCATGTTGTTGCAAATGACAGTATTTCACTTTTTATGGCTTAATAGTATTCCACCGTATATATGTATATATTTTTAAAATATTTATTTATTTATTTTATTTGGCTGCCTTGCATCTTGGAGAATGTGGAATCTTTAGTTGCAGCGTATGAATTCTTAGTTGCGACATGTGGGCACTAGTTCCCTGACCAGGGATCAAACCCAGGCCCCCTGCTTTGGGAGTGTGGAATCTTAGCCACTGGACCAGTAGGGAAGTTCCAACTTTCATTTCTTAAGTATCTTTTACTATTGAGTCAAGGGAGGTATGATTACTCACATATTTTAGATAAAGAAACTGAAAATCAGAAAGGCTTTTGCTCCAGGTGAGTGGGGAGATTGGAATTCCATCCTCGGTGTGTGTCTGCCTCTGTACTTGCTGCCTATACATGAGGTAATATGTGTCCATACCTGGGACCCAGTGTGGGTGTGTGGAGGTGGGGGCGATGCTGTGTACCTGTGTTGCACTTGTGGGGTCACCCCAGTGGATTCTTAAGCCTCCCTGATCCCAGGTTGGGAAAGGGGCGCCCCACCCCCCATCCCTGGCTGGGTGCAGGGTCTGGACCCCTTGGGCTGGGAATGCAGCCTGGCAACCTCCTGGAGGATGGTGAGTGTGGCTTCTGAGTTCAGCCTGCAGCTACACATGGGAGCAGTAGTCCTGGAAATTGTTGGCTTAGTGATCTTTGCAAGAAGCCAACGAGCAGTTCCGAGAGAGGGCAGGGATCAGGAGATGAAGGGGAAGGGTTTCTTTTGTTCCTTGCTGTCCCTCTTGCTGTCTCCCCTCTGGAGGAGGAGGGGAGGGTGTGGGCCACCTGCCGCTCCTGCCCCTTGGCTGCTCATCAACTCTCAGGGCCTGCTGCCGCGAGAGGGTCCTCGCTGGCTCTGTGCCTGCAAGGTTACGGCCAAGGTGGCTTTGGCAGGGAAGCAGAGAGGGGTGTTAGCTAGGCCTCACCAGGCCCCACTGGGAAACAGGGTCCAGGCAGAAATCCAGGCTTCCCTAGACCTCCCAGTTGGTGTGTGGCTCCTAGCAGTGCCCTGGCCTCAGCAGGGGACCTCATTTCCTTCGAAAGCCTCATGTGCCCTTTCGAGCCCCGGCCCCTGTGCTGGGCCCCCAGGGACTTGCTGTCCAGTGGCAGAATTAGACCAGAAATGATCAAGTGTAACAAGCAGTGATGACAGTGGCTGCAAGGAAGAGAGCAGTGTGGGGGGACCACAAGGCTAGGAGGACTTGCCTTGTGTGATTAGGGTGTGTTGGGGAGTCTGTTTGGGGAAGATATTTAGAATTTTTCTAGATGGAAAGGAAACAATTCCACATGCAAAGTCCCAGAGATGTAATGTAGGGGTGTGTTATTGTTTAGTTGCTTAGTTGTGTCCAATTCTTTGCGACCCCATGGACTATAGCCTACCAGGTTCCTCTGTCCATGGAATTTTCTAGGCAAGAATACTGGGGTGGGTTGACATTTCCTTCTCCAGGGATCTTCCTGACCTAATTTGATCCCTCCAGGGATCAAACCTGTGACTCCTGCATTGGCAGGGAGATTCTTTACCACCAAGCCACCAGGAAAGCGCAGATGTGAGGCTCAGGACTAAAAAGGTCTTTATAGTGGGCCTCGGGGAGGGTGTGGTGGAGGATGCCGTTAGAGGAGGAGGAGAAGCTGACAGAGGTGAGCTGGAGTGGAAAGTGGATGGTGACTGTGTTTCCTGCCTCCCTAGAGCTTGGCCTTTCCTGGAGTTCCCCACATCTTGTGTGTTTGGAAGGAGTGGGTTGGTGAAATTTGTGCTTTGGTCTCTCTGAGGTGGGTGGGTTAGAGGGAGAAGGCTGGTAGGGAAAACACCAGACAGGAGTCTCATGGGTGTTCTGGGTCACTGTGCAGGCCGAGGTATGAGAAAATGGTGCCTAGAGGTAGCTGGGGCCAGACCTGGGGGGCTTGTTGCCACCTGGCTGTGGGGTCAGACAGAGCTGCACTCGGGGGGGCACCCAGGACTCCCCCAGGTGCAAGGGTTCATGGTGGGCTCCTTAGCCATGAGAGGGAGAACAGGAGACTTTAGGGAGGTGATGGTGAGCCAAGTTTTGGATATGTTGTGTTGGAACGTGGAAGTGCATGTGACAAACAGGTGGTTAGAAATTCAGGTCCAGATCTTAGGAGAGAGGTCCGGGCCAGAAATGAGGGCCTGAGGAAAGGCCGTGCCTGAGGCGGGGGCATGGGTGAGTCTATCAGGGAAGGAGAGCTGGAAGAGGAGAAGGAAAGCAGAGAGGGCGGAAGTTGCTGCCTGTGAAACACTGCCATTGAAGGAGGAGGCTAAGAACCCCTGAGAGGAGGCAGAGGAGGTGAGGTCAGAGGAGCAGAAGGAAAACCAGGGAGGACAAGTCCTGCAGCCAAGAGAAGAGGAAAGCCTGGAAGGAAAGCTGTGTGCATGCTAAGTCACTTCAGTTGTGTCTGACTTTTTGTGACTCTGTGGACCATAGCCCACCAGGCTCCTCTGCCCATGGGATTCTCCAGGCAAGAATATTGGAGTGGGTTGCCATGCCTTCCTCCAGGGGCTCTTCCTGACCCATGCATTGAATCTGCATCTCTTATGTCTCCTGCCTTGGCAGGTGGGTTCTTTACCACTAGTGCTACCTGGGAAGCCCAGAAGAAAGACTAAAGCAAAGTCATTGATCCTGGCAATTTTGTGGTCCTTGGAGACCTACGATTTCTAAGTATTTGGGGTGTGAGGGACTGAGGGGGACATTTTATTCAGTTCTTCTCAGCAGGCGGGTTGGAGGGTCCACTGTGTCCTCAGTGATATGCTGCATCCTTGGTCTCCCCTTCCCCCCAGGACATGTCTGGGCCCCAGGGAAGAATGAAGAGGCTGGTGAGAAAGAGCCGCTTCTGAGAAACTCCACATGGCATGGAAATGTGCGACTGCACTGCTGGGATCCCCCAAGAGTGTCACTGAGAACGTGGGGACAGAAGAGGGGCAGAACCGCCTACTGCTCACCAGAGTCCACAGCCACGCTTCCCTGGGCCGCACGCGCCTGGACTACATTTCCCAGCCTCCCTTGGATGTGAGAGTTGGACCATAAAGACAGCTGAGCACCAAAGAACTGATGCTTTTGAACTGTGGCATCGGAGAAGACTCTTGAGAGTCCCTTGGACTGCAAGGAGATCCAACCAGTCCATCCTAAAGGAGATCAGTCCTGAATATACATGGGAAGGACTGATGCTGAAGCTGAAACTCCAATACTTTGGCCACCTGAGGCGAAGAACTGACTCATTGGAAAAGACCCTGATGCTGGGAAAGACTGAAGGCCGGAGGAGAAGGGGACGACAGAGGATGAGATGGTTGGATGGCATCACCGACTCAATGGACATGAGTTTGAGTAAGCTCCAGGAGTTGGTGATGGACAGGGAAGCCTGGCGTGCTGCAGTCCATGGGGTCGCCGGTCATGACGGAGTGACTGAACTGAACTGTGATTAGATGTGACCATGTGGCTGAGTCCTGGCCAATGGGAAATGAAACAGGGGTAATGCTGCGACTTCCAGCCAGCGCCCCTTAGGACCTCCCTTGTGCAATCCTTGCTCTCTTCTTCCATTTGCTGTAAAACAGGGAAGACTCTGGGGTCCTAGAGAAGGGTGGAACCACAAGATAGAAGGAGCCTGGGTTTATGAATTGGCAGGGAGCCAACTGCCTTTTGGGCTGTGCTGTGAACAAGAGATAAACTTTTATTGTGTTTGGTCCATGAGATTTGGTTATTTATCTGCATAGGAGCTAGTGTCAACTAATACAGAGATTTTTCTCTCTTTGCTGGCCAACTGCCATGCAGATGTGGCCCCTCCTGGCTTGAGACCCTGGAGTGGGCAGAGGGGACCAGTGTCAGTCCCAGGGACTGGCCAGTGGGGAGGAATCCAGGAGAAAGTTGGCACCACCTGGCAGAGAGGATGCCCGTGGGTGGTGCCTGGACCAGTACTTTGTACTCAGCACATGTGACATATCTCTTGGGGATGGTCAGAAATACCACTGTCTCCTGGGGGTGGTCCAGCAATCGCAGTGGGGCGGAAATGGAGATCATCACTCCAGTGCTGCCCTTTTGCATTAAGTGTGTGATGGAATAGGGCTTGGCACAGAGTGAGTGCCTCTTCAGTGTAGACGCTGACGGCTCTGAGGCTGGTGTGACCAGGGAAACCAGGCTACACATGTGGCAGTGCTGTTGAACTTGTGCCTTCTATGCTCCCCGCCCGTCTTTCTCCCAGATGTAGTGCCAGACAGACTGGGGAACTATAAGAAGGAAGCCGTGAAGCCTTGGAGATGACCAGGTTTCTTTTCCACATTGTCTGTGGATTAGGAATTTGACACAGTGAGTTAGGTATTAATGACTCTAGAGTCCACTCTAGGGTTAAACTAGGAGATGGTATGACACTAAATTTGCACTAGTGTCACTGCTGGTCACACCCAGGTCTCCTGACTCCACAGCCAGGGTTCTCCAAATTAGGGAATTAGCAATATACCGATTAAAAAAAGAAATGAGAGAGATGCCTCTTATCCTCACACTTAGACATTGTTAACATTGTAGTTTATATCCTTCCATCATTCTTTTGTATTTGTGTACATACACACATTACATATGTGGAATAGTATATATGCAACATATTTATACCATGTGTATAACATATATATGTATATATACATAAAAACTCAAAGGAAAATGAATTCATGCTGTACATATTGCCTTGTAAACTGCTTTTCCCACAAAAATCACAAATTATTTTCTATATTATTAAATATTATTTTGCACTATTTTGTATGGCCGTACTATCATTTGTTTAACCTATCTCTTATTGTTGAACAACAAATTATTGCCAGCTTTTGCTGTTATAAAAAGCTCTGGAGGTAAGCATTTGCCACTGCACATTGATGATTTTTTGTTTTTTGGATAAAGTCCTACATGTGGAATTTTTGGATCCAAAAGTAAAAAAAAAGTCTAAAATTTTGGTTTTGATATACAAAAACAAACTGGTCTCCAGACAGCTGGGGTGAATTTACACTTCCGTCAGTGGTGAAGGGGAGGGCCCGTCTGTTTATGCCCTTGTCAGCACTGGCTAGTGTAATTTTCCCTGGGCTCCTTTCATTCCTGGGCTATACCAGGGGGAAGAAAGCAAGCCTTGTCCTGAGCCCCCAAGTCTGTTCCTCCTGGGGGTGGGCAAGCTTTGATAAGATGGAGCAAGCTCAAGTGGGAGGGTGGGCAGGGGCGTGGCTGGTTGGGAGGTGGTGGTACTCAGAAGAGAGAGGGCTTGGAGCTTTCCCCTGGGCACCTGACCCCTTACAGGAGCTCTGGCCATGGAACCTAGTGGTGTGGGCACACCAGCCTTGTTCTGGGTAGATGGGTTGGGCCAATGGAGTGCCAGTGATGGGCCTGGGAGACAAGGTGGATGAGGATAGAGTCAAGGTGGACACCACTCATCGTTGGCTCCAGGAGCTGTAAAAAAAGCAAATATTTGGAGGCTGGGATTGCTTAGCTTTCTCCTTGGAATCAGCAGACTCTCGGAGGCTTGGATTAATTTGAAGAAATTTACTAGCGGAGTTTGTAGCAGATAAAACAGTTTGCTTATTTCACACTTGTATGGCCACCTGCTAGGAACTGTTTGTTCAGTTTCAAATTCTTTAATTAAAATCAACATAAAACAGATTGAAAACATCCCAAGAAGGGGATGCTTGATTTGCTGGAGGATATTGCAGAAAGATGGAGCAGAGTGGTTCAGAAAGCGCTTCGTCACTAAGCGAGCAGAGGGGTAGAAACATGTATCTTGAGTAACTGTGGGGCTTGAGTATGCACATGCCTGTGGGCAAGTGGCCGTCCAGAGGAGCAGAGAACTCACATGAGTCTTTCCATGATGATGGTGGATGGGGTGGAGAAGTGAGAAGTCTGTGTTTCCACTACTCAGAAAAGGCCAGCTCCATGTTTGTTTTTCTTTTCTTTTCTTTTAGCAAATAGTCATTGAATTCCTCTGTGTCAGAAATTGTGGATAGTGTGCAATCTCTGACTTCAGGAAGAGAGACAGGAAAGTGAAATGGAAATGGTCACCCAGTTTGTGCTGAAGTGCTGGAAAAAGGGTAAATGCCAGGTGCCAGGGGAGCCCAGAGGGGAGCTCCTGACCTTAAATTGGTGAGGGGTTCAGGTCAGACTTCTGAGAAGAAATGACATCTACCTCAGCTGAGGTCTGATGAATGGATGGAAATGATTCAGGTTAAAATGATGTATCAATTAGCTATTACTACCATCTGCTGTGTAACAAGCATCTATAATATCTCAATGGCATATATCAATTACCACTTATTTAGTTCCTGCTTCTGTGAACTGGCTGAGAGGCAGCTGATCTGGGCTGGATCTGGTCAGGCAGTCCTGCTCCATGAGTCTCTTATCTTCCTCCTGGGACCAGCAGGCTAGCTTGGGTATGATGGAAAAAGCACAAGAGAGTCAGCTCAATTGCGCAAGAACTTTTCATGCCTTTAGTCACGTCATTCCCTTTAGCATTCCATTGGCCAAAGCATGTCATATGTCTGAACCCAAGATCAAGGGGAAAAGAAATATATTCTTCCTCTGTAGTGGAGTAATATTATACTCTGGGCTTCCCAGGTGGTGCTTATGGTAAAGAACCCACCTGCCAGTGCAGAAAACATAAGAGATGTGGGTTCGATCCCTGGGTTGGGAAGATCCCCTGGAGAAGGGCATGGCAACCCACTCCAGTATTCTTGCCTGGAGAATTCTTAGGACAGAGGAGCTGGGCACTACAGTGCATAGGGTCACAAAGAGTCAGCTACGACTGAAGTGACTTAGCACACACGCATCATACTCTACCTCTTTAGAGCAGTGGCCATTAATATAGTCTATCAGGCATGGGTGGAGAAGGGTGGTGGGTGGTGGGCTGTTGGGGAGTCAGGGAACAGCATGCAGGGGATCAGGTTTGGCACATGTTGCGAACTGTCTGGCAGGGGCATTGATTATGAGGAGGGCTTACAAACTGGAGGCTCCTGGAAGGGCCTCAAGGAGGAGATGAGGAAGGGTCTTATCTGTGAGCACAGCTTGGGGATGTTATCCCCTGGGCAGGAGGGAAGCACTGATGGGTTTTAAGGTGGGGAGTGACATGACCAGAGTTCTCTGCTCTGACTTCAGAGCAGGGGACAGGGTGAAGGGGACACATGGAGAGGGTCAGGAGACCAGTTAGGAGCCTCTGAGTTGCTCAGGCTTCCTTGGGAGTTGATCTCATAATCAGGTGACCCAGGTCGTGAGCCCTCCACTGCTTTTATAAGGGTTTTTCTAAGTGCTTAGCAATCTTTGAAAGTGTTAGTCACTCAGTTGTGTGAACCCATGGGATGTAGCCTGTCAGGCTCCTCTGTCCATGGAATTCTCCAGACAAGAATACTGGAGTGGGTTGCCATTTCCTACTCCAGGGGATCTTCTCAGCCAAGGGATCGAACCTGCGTCTCTTGCATTGCAGGAGGATTCTTTACCATTTGAGCCACCAGGGAAGCCCCTGGTGGGGCAACCTTTATCTCTTGGCATATTAGCATGTAGCAAAAAGTCCCACTGCTGCCAAGGCAAAAGGATTAGCTGAGTTGGTTAAGCATAAGGAGGTTCATGTGTCCTGAGGCATCCCACCCACCTTGGCCTTGACTCAAAGCAGTTGGTCCACTGAACCTCCATCATCTTTCTCCAGGCTCCACCAGCAACTGGACAGCCAGAAGCTAGAGGCCTCTACCCTGGTATGAATCACTCAGCTCACCCTACAATGGTCGACCTCACTCTCTCCCTTCCCTTTTGGGGTCACAACACTCTGTAGACACAGCTGGGCACAGGACTGCCTGCTAGAGATTTAGGGTCCCAAGGCCCTGTAGGGAAGGCTCAGGCCAGTGCCCATGTCTGGACACCTGGTTTTAACTCCTGATTATAAACTAGCCACCTTACACTTTGCACTCCATACCTAACAGCCTTGGTGCAGTAGAGAAAAACTCTGTACTTAGGGTCCGAGACCTGGATTGGGGACTTAATCTAGCTCCTTGCAAGCACTGTGATCTTGAACAAGTCACAGGAGCTCTCTAGGTCTTGGTTTTCTCATGGTTGGTCTACCCCAGCAGGTAAAATCGTTAAATGATGTCATGGGTGTGGAGGTTCCTGGTCAACCTCTCATCTCTTGATTCCCTGTCAAGTGTATCCCTACATAGCCTTGAAATGACAGCTTAAAATGACCTCCTCTTCCTGGGGGCCGGGGAGACCTCTGCCAAACTGTTACAGCTTCAAACATGGCTCCTACTAGAGTGGATGCTGCTCATCAATGCTTATTCATCTCTAAGGCCCTGGCCGCTGGTATATAGCTGGCAGGGCCTAGGTGAACAGTGTTGAAGGAATGAGTGTTAACTCTTGTTCACTGAATCTGGCCTGGAAAATTCATCCAATCCCCTCCTCCTCCTTCTTCTGAAGACACTTCCTCCTTGTTGCCCCCCAGCCTGCCTCCTCCTTCTCTCCCACCCTTTCTCCTCCCAGGGACACTGCCTCTGCGGCTTGGGCCTGAGCATGACTGTAGGTCTCTCCTGTGCGCTCTGCCCTCTTCCAGCCCCTGAGGTCCCTGAGGATGACAGTCATCTCTTCTGTCCCCTCCATACCCCTGACTGCTCAACTGGTCCCCAGGACCAGTTGTCACATCTCATGTGCCTGAATTGTGATGTTGACATAGCATAGATGGGGGGTTTAAACAGCAGACTTTATTTCTCATGGTTCTGGAGACTGGAAGTCCAAGATCAGAGTCCCTGCAGATTTGGTGTTGCTTACAAGGGCATTAATTCTATCAAGAAAGTCCCACCCTCATGACCTCATCTGAACCTGTTCACCTCCTGAAGACACCCACCTCCAAATACCATCACACTGAGGGGCCTGGGGCTTCAACATGTGAACTTGGTAGGGGGACATGATTTCATCCATAGCATCCAGGCAGCCCTGTGTTTGGATTTCTTCCTCCTCCCTCCCACCTCAACGCTAATTAGCAGCAGCCTTGTAAGGCACTGGACAATAGGGCCACAGCGGACTGGTCTTGGGTTTGTGGCTGCAATCTGAGGTTCCAGCCATCTCAGTGCTGCCACTCACTGCCTGTGTGGCCCGGAAAACTCACTGACATCCTCTGCTCTCGGTTTCTGCATGCAGAAGAC